GTCACAATTGCTTTGAAGTATTAAAGTTGCCGAAAAAGGTGTTTTCCAAGAAGGATGACTGGCAAATGTCTTGTGGAGCATGCTCTACTGTGATCTCTTTCACCGTTACGGATGAAAAACTAGTGCCAGTTGACACAGCAGTGAAGCAAACAACCACCGATGCTTTTGACAAATCTGATGGGTTTGGTCTTGGGCCTCATGGCCATAAAGCAAGCTTTTGTTCTGAGGACTATGCTAACTCAGTGTATGATTTTCAAGCAATGGATAGGGAACCTATTTCTTCATCAACTTGCCAAGGTGTAAGCTCCAGCAAGTCTGAAGAACACAACCTGCACTCGGTTTCTGCAACCACTTCTGAGGATGAACATTTTTCAGATGAATTAGTTGCTAAAAAAGGAGTGACCTCTGCAACTATTCATCCTGAAAAAGCTGCATCTTCTCCTTCTCCTCCAGGTTCACCTCTTCAAGACCCTTTTGATTACACATCTAAATTCCGTGCCATAAACCGTTATGGAAAGGGAAATTTGAGTAGTCGATCAGATCAAGAGAGGGTTATTACTAACAAGAATACTGTTCGGCAAAACTCCTTGAAGGAGTCACTGGCAACAGAGATGGAGATGTCACATAATGAATACCTAAATAATGAAGTAACACAAGAGTCAACAGATAAATGCAGAGAAGAGGAACTCCCAAAGATGAAGAAAGGAGTGGATTCATTTTTGGCAGGAATTATAAAGAAGAGCTTCTCTAAATCCAACCAAACCTTGGAAAGTGGTAAAAGAAATGTTATGGTTAATGGGAATCTGATACCAGATAAATTGGTTAAGAAAGCAGAAAAGATGGCAGGCCCAATATACCCTGGCCAATACTGGTATGCTCTTCAACTGCATTTAGTATCTGCTTATACTAATTTGTTTCAAATGGCTTTGCATTGTGTTGTGTCGGAAAGTACGAAGTATTAGGTTATATAGTGCTGATTCTGTTAAGACTAGAGGCATATGGATAATTCTTTTGTTTCCCCTAAAGCTAAAGACTCTGTTTCTTAAAACTTGGATAAGGTCTGATATGTATAATATCAAGCCTCTGCTGAGCTTGGGACATTCATATGTCAGAGTTCATAATTTCAGGCCTCATGTTTTTCTCCTTTATACCTAATAATCATCTTTGTTTTGGTTTATGCTGCTGATTGCTATTAGATATTGCATGTCCTTGCATCAAATCAATTACAACTTATGATTTTTGGACACCATATAGATATATGTTCTTATCCAAACAAGGCGTTTGGTTCAGATTTTTGCGCTGATATTAGTTTACAATAACTAGATGCTTGATGTATTCATAAAAATTAAAAATAAAAGTTGGAATTGCACCTTTTTTTTGTTTTTTGTTTTTTGTTTTTGTTGTTGGGGCTTGGACAGCATATCTAGGTGGCTCACTGCTTTGTTATAATTGTTTCTTGTTTTCCATTTTATCAGGTATGACTACAGAGCTGGGTTCTGGGGTGTGATGGGTGGACCTTGTCTTGGCATCATACCTGTAAGCTCTCTAAATTATAGTGTGTATTCTCTGATCATATCCTGAATATATGTTTTTTTAGTATTATAAACTCTTCAATTGTCTTACGTGTTTCCAGCCATTTATCGAGGAGTTCAATTATCGGATGCCAGAAAATTGTGCTGCTGGGAACACTGGTGTGTTTGTAAATGGTAGAGAACTTCATCAAAAAGATATGGAATTGCTTACAATCAGAGGACTTCCAGCTCTTAGGGACAAATCTTACATTATTGAGATCTCTGGACGAGTTGTGGATGAAGACTCTGGTCAAGAACTTGACAGCCTTGGCAAACTTGCCCCAACGTAAGTTTGATTTTTTACTGTTCCCCGCCCCTCCATCTCTCCAAAAAGGATAAAAAGAAAGTTTTGTTACATTATTCTATGAAGGAATATGCTGTGCTTATGTTTCCAAACATACCTTCATTTATTTGCTGAAATGGAGAAATGGTGAAAGGAAGTCTATTAATCCCTCCGTTCTACTATATGCTTCTCTGAACAGGGTTTGACGCTATTATTAAGGGTAGAATATAGTTAGGTATAGTATATACAGAGAAAGAGAGAGTTGGTGTTTTTTTTTTTGGGGGGGGGGGGGGGGAGTTTGGTACAATGTGACTTACTTCCAGATATAGGAGTATAACATTAAGGCAGCATGTTTTGAATAGGTTTTTAAGCAATTTTTGAGACAAATGCCTGGAGTTCATTACTGAAGAGTGCTCACCTGCTCTGAGTTTCTGACAACATCATAAAGCCTAATGTAGTTATGTATATCTTTTGATTGGTAAATTCACAAAACATCATTAAGTACGACATAGATGATAAGTAGTTTCGTAATTTGAAGTGCTAGATAAGATTGGTATCATGCAAGTCATAAAAAAATAATGGAGTCTTCTTCCTTGTCTGACAGAGAGCTCGCTAAACTTGATCAAATGTGTGAGTTTTTGTTGCCATATTAGATTATTACTTGTAGGTTGTTGGGAAGCACTTTCAATTACTTTCTAGGATGTAAATTCTGCATTACCTTTAAAAAATACCTCATTCTGGTATTGTGAGGACCTTCTCACTTGCATGAGCATCATATTGAGTCCTGGACACTTGGAAGAATACGTTTAAAATGTATGTGGTCTTTGAAAATTAGTACCTCTTAACTGGATTGACTCTTTGCTATATTATGAATTCTGAATGCATTACTCTGTATCTTGGATCTTTTATCTAATGATTATGAATATATACAAAATTACAAAGTACATATAGCTTATTATAATCTGACAAAAAATTTTCCCATGGTCAGGATTGAGAAGGTCAAACATGGGTTTGGCATGAGAGTCCCAAAAACCGTGTCTTAAAGTAAACTGTCATGCATGAAAACAAGTTCACTAAATGCCTCCTACAATTAGGAAGAGTCTGGTTGTCTGAACTTGCCCTTTTGAACTCCATACTTGCTTCAGTCTGCTGTGCTGTCGAAGGAGGTTTCCAATGATACCCCAGTAACTTGTCTGGATTACAGAATGGTGATATCTGTTTGTCCATTGTATTCAAAGAATCAAAGATTTTTCATTGGTGCCTTTTGGTCTGTTCGGAGAGGTTTAGGGTCTCAAAAGGGAGGTGTAAATCGTCCTATCTTTCTCTATTATTTATGTAATATCAATTAGCTGATCTAATTTGTAATGCTGTATATTGTTAGATGCGTTGTTAGTCAATCGGCACCAATCAAGTGTTATGATCTCTAGGAACATTTCCCCCCCTCATTTTATGCTTGCGATTTTGTAATGTATCAAAGAAATGGTAATGTGTTAAAGTCCAAGAGCAAATGATTGATTGCAAATTCATTTGCTTCTGATGAATGTGAAAGTACAGATTGACCTCTTGATAGACTTGTGGTATTTTGTGTCGCAGTTTCATTTTTGTCAATGGAAGTTTGATTTAACTTGTCTACATCTCTATATCGTTCTAGTTTTATGAAATGTCTTTAAAGTTGTTTCTCCCTTCTTGTTTGATGTTCTAGAAGACATTCAAAGCTCATGGTTACTGTTGACTGAATTCTGAAAGGACTTTGATTATTAATTGCATAATTTTCACTGTTCCTCACGCAATTTGGCATAAAGGACTGACTATAAATTATACAGATAATCAGATTTGAATATACCTTTAAAGAGTACGCATTATTTTGAATATATTATTATAAAATGAAAAGAGTATACGTAATAGTAATAAATTTTGGGTACACGTACACCTAGTGCGGGATCTTAAACACGATTAAACAAGGTGCTATCTGCTCAACTTAAAGTAGCAACTTATATTGGTCTCTTTATTCTTTACTAAGGGCCTGTTCACATTTACTTAATTTCAGTTCAGTTCAGTTCAGCTCCAATCAGTTCAGTTCAGTTCAGCTCTTAATTTCCCTCTCTCATAAAATATTCATTCCAGCTCAATTCAGTTCAGTTCAGTTCCAATCAGTTAAGTTCAGCTCCAATCAGTTCAGTTCAGATCAGTAAATGTGAACAGACCCTAAAGCGATTCATAATGAGATTGGGGTTACAAGAACAAAGAACAAACTATGCATTGAGTATTTGAGTCTATGAAGCGTAAAGCTTTGTTTGGTTACTTTTTGCTGTTTTCGTGACCCTCCTTTATTAATCTTTAATTACTTTTAAATTCAGGATTAATGTATCAAGGATCATCTTCTTTGATTTTTCTAGTTGTAAATCAGCTTTTATTGCTTTTTTGGGGGTGGGTATGCAATCTATTCGACCCTTTTTTTTTTTTTTTTTTTTTTTTTTTTTTGAGAAACCAATTTTATCTCTTTCTAGCAGCAACAAAGTTGGCTGAATAGAAGAGATTATATCTTAATAAGACCCCAAATGTCAAGTTGGTGATTGGAAATTTGGAATCATATCTTAAAACTCTAGAGTCTAGTCAATCAATGCAATATTGCATAATAATACCAAAATACATGTATTGAACCAAACTCGTTATTAGGATCTTATAAAACCTAATTATAAACTTATTAATGTTCTAAATCAACTTTTATGATCCTGAGAGACATTTCATTGACTCACAGTACATCTTACTGCTTATAGTTGTGATGTTCTACAAATCACAATCAATAATTCATTCATAACGAAAATAAGTGCCACCATCTACCATGAGCAGCTATAAAGTCATAATGTGGTGGTCCAACAGCAAATATGGACACCAGCAATTCTGAATTTTTCCTTGTTACAGTTTAATGTTGTAGGTTACCTGTTTGTTTCATTCATCATATCCACAAACACAAATGTTTTTCCGGATGGTTCAAAAACTTAATTCAAGAAAAAGGGTAATATTTCTCTATCAAAAATTCGATTGTCATGTTAGTAATGTAATAATGTATATACACTAATTGTTATCATGTTAGAAAAGGGTTATTCACCAAATCTCATGTGAACCTGATATATAATATTTGTTGTGGTGCAACAAATTTATTTTTTATATTCCATTCTTTATACTCGGTATAAGTTATCCCGTTAAAGTTAAAATGTTTAGACTTTAATTATTTTTTATGTCATTTTTAAAAAAAAAAAAAAATACTACACATAAACTAAGTTATTCATGGACACGCCTATATGTACCTAAAAATCATTATTATGACCATTATGGCCATTTTAATTACCACCTCGGCGATCTGGCCGACATATGTTAATAAAGAGTATACACAACACAATTACACTTCCAAACCAAACTACAAACATCTCTTCATTCCTCACTTCAATGTCATTGATCCTTAAAATACTCTATACTAGTAAGGTACTAAGATATACACATCCACAATCTCCTTTTTCCTCAATAAAAAATAAAACATCACCTTTTCTTTATTAAAGATTTATAGGTGGAAAATCCACCACTTTATTTAATTATATAATTATTTTTTCATTCATGAATAATGATATTTAGATCCCACCATGCAAGGTTTGTTTGGAGGTTGTAGTAGTAAATACTCCACTGAAATATACCCATCAAACTCAGAAAAATTTAAACCCAAAAATTAAAATCAAAATAATAATAAATTAAAAAAAAAAAAACCAAAACCCCAATTCTTGAGAATTCCATTCCCTAGGAAAAACAAGACAACAGAGGAATAAACCAGAAAGAAAAAGAGATGAATTGGGATTCAAACCCATTGAAACCAATTTCATTTTACAAACAAAATTCATTTCTTATTAAACTTTTGATTTTGTTTCTCTTGTTTGGTTTGACAATTCGCTTCTTTTCTTCTTATTCCATTGATTTTTCTTCCCCAGTTTTGGAAATCAAGACTTCTTCCCCTGTAACTGATCTTCTTACTTTTGATAAAGGTACCATTTTTATTTTATCTTTTTAATTTCTTCTGCATTTTTTCATTTGATAATTATTTTCTTCTGTAGTATATTTTGCTGCTATATAATCATGCATCTTTTATGATTTCTGTGAGAAATTCTGATTTCATGATTCTACATATTTTTTCCCTGTTTTTTTTTTTTTTTTTTTTTTTTTTTTTTTTTTTTTTTGGAAGTTTGGGGAATTTGATTGAGCTTGATATAAACTTTGCTCAATCAAACTTTAAGTTTCTGTTGTTCCTTTGAACCAAAAAAAAAAATCAAACTTTAAATTACATTTTATTTCAGTTCTATGAGTGAGTAAAATATGAGTAATTTTATTAACCCTAAATTGTGGAAATTAATTTAAAGGTGTCTGCTGTTCTTTGCTTCTATAAATTCCTGATTTTTTTTTATTTTTTATTTTATTTTTAAAATATAGTTTTAAGTGATGGGTTTGGCAAAGATCACTCATAAAGCAAGAGTTTTCGAGTAAAGAATTTTATTTAGTGACTAGTATGAAACTATGATTAAGTACTAATAAACAACAAAAACAAGTTTCTAGTAGATGAAATGAATTTAATATGATGTTTAGCTACATAATATGATCATATATTTTTTAAAAATGAGTTCATTGTAATTGCATTAGTTCTAAGCTTATATTGTGGTTTGCTCAACCATTTGTAGGCTCTCTCACATCCAATTCAACCAATTTAATTGAAGATGAAGCAAAATCGAAATGTGATTTGTTTAAAGGTGAATGGATCCCAAATCCATCTGGTCCTGTATACAATAATAATAGCTGCCCTTTCATTGAGCTCCCTCAGAATTGTATGACTAATGGCCGGCCCGATTCGGACTACCTCTATTGGAGGTGGAGTCCCTTGGATTGCAAGTTGGATAAGTTCAACCCTGAGAAGTTTCTTGATTTGATGAGCAACAAGTATTGGGCTTTCATTGGCGATTCCATTTCTCGCAATCATGTGCAATCCTTTCTTTGTACCCTGTCTCAGGTATATGATCTTGCCTTAAATGTGGATGTATCATGTGTTAAATGTTCCCTTGATTCATCAATTGATCTTTGATAGAACTTTATTTATATGTTGTAACAATTGAAGGATTAGTTGTTAGTAGGATGTGTCTCTTTTTATGCAGAAGTTCAAACTGTAGGAATGAGTAAACTTTGGAGTTATTGCTTAGATCAATATGATATGTTGGGTGGTGAAGATACTTGCCATTTTTCTTTTCCTCAATCTTGAAAACAAGCTAAGAATGACATAATTACCTTCATGACCTCACTATATTGTGCTTAAGGCGTTACACTTTCCTTTTTGGCATTCCATAAACAATGACCATCATAGAGGGCCTCTCTTTTGAGTTGTCATGATATAGAAATGATTTCAGAGTGAGGGTAAATTCTTTGTGCTGATCGTAGTTGGCAATTCTAAGTAATGTGTTAAACTTTAAAGTAGTCAAGAGTAAAACACCTCATTTTTATTGTTTAAGGTGGGTTCTTAAACAATAAAAATGAGTGACAATCATTGTAGACACAAAAATGGGATAGAATATTTAGATGTTTTGGTGTGCAGGAATACTTTTAATGTTGCACACGCTTTTTCTTTACGTGAAATATTCATTCTCTATGGTCCTCTGCTCTTGCTCTTCATCGAAATCCCTGGTTGGCCGATGAGCTAACTTGTGCTGCCCATAGAGTACTTTGAACTTGGGCACTGGGGTCATTGTATCGGTGGGGCATTTATAATGGAATGATAGCTAGTTTAGTGGTTATAATCGCGAAATCTGTTGTGTGTTATTATTAGCATCTCCCATTGGATCATAGAAATCTCTAGTGCTATTAATCTATTATTACTACCTTTCTCTTGTCTTAATATGCAAGATAGGGTCCTACTTAATTATCCTTGAACATTCATGATGATTTTGGTGGGTCTTGTGAAAAGAATTTGTAGGTTTATTTGTCGGTGCAGTTGCTGTGTATTGTGTTTGTTGCAAAGTCATGTACAAGGTTAATCTGTCCCTTCAAAAACTAGTAATCTAACAAAATTACCTCAAATTCCTATCTTACAAAGCAGATGATGAAAGTTTCTTCTGCTGGTTGGACAATGACTTCCTGGATGAAATGCATGTATTCCAAAAATTATGGTTTTTTCAAACTATGATGTGGTGATTTGATTATAGCCTTGTTCTGCAGGTTGATCAAGCTAAGGAGATCTATCATGATGAGGAATACAAATCAAAGACATGGGTTTTTCCCTTGTACAATTTCACAGTCACGGTTATATGGTCCCCATACCTTGTCAAAGCCGAGATTTTTGAAGACAATGATGGAGTTTCAACATCTGAGACTCAGCTTCATCTTGACAAGTTAGATGAGAAATGGACAAGCAGATACAATAACTTTGATTATGTGATAATTGCAGGTGGAAAATGGTTTTTGAAGACTGCAATCTATTTTGAAAATAACACAATTCAAGGATGCCATTACTGCCATGGGAGAAACTTGACAGAACTCGGGTTTGACCATGCTTATCGCAAGGCACTCGAGCTGGTTCTAAACTTTGTGATGAATTCAAGTCATAAAGCACAAGTTTTCTTGAGAACAATCACCCCGAATCACTTTGAGAATGGAGAATGGCATAATGGTGGGACTTGTAATCGAAAAGTGCCATTCAAAGAGGGTGAGGTGAACATAACTGATATAGATAGGATACTTTATGAGGTGGAGTTGCAGGAATTTGACAAGGCCGTTGGAGTTGCATCAGAGAAAGATGTCTCCTTAAAGCTTTTTGACACAACCCGACTCTCTCTATTGAGGCCTGATGGGCATCCTGGGCCGTACAGGCAGTCTCATCCTTTTGCAAAGGATAAAAATGCCAAGGTTCAATATGATTGCTTGCATTGGTGTTTGCCAGGGCCAATTGACTCCTGGAATGATTTGGTCATGGATATTTTGATGAACGACTAAACGAAAGAAATGCAAGAGTCATTGACACTTTGAAAGGTATGTTATGGGTAGATCCATATACACAAAGTTATCCATGCAAAGTTCGATTTTGGATCACTGATGTAAATTTTTTGTTATGAAAAATTCTTTCTTGTAAAATTTTTGTTATACAAAATTCTTTGAATGAAAATACTCAAAAGTGATCCGGAACCCTGGATAATAATTACTCAGGAAAAGTTATTTAATCTTTGGTTTTCTTTTTCGTTTTTCTTATTTTTTATTTCTTATTTTTTATTTTTATTATTGTTTGATTGTTTACTCTATTGTAGCAATTGTACACAGTATTCACATGTATACCCGTTGTTTATGCTCAAACACATCCACATTTTTAGGTGAGAGTTTGAGGACACATTCATTAGATTCAATTTCTTGTAATTCAGCATTCATTAGCCATCATCCATAGTTGATCGATACTCCTAGTTGTTGATTATTCTCCCAATACTCGAGTTTCCCTTAATTGTTTCACATACATTTCAAATTAGAAGGCTTGTTTGTAGTATAAAACATTATCAACATCATTCTCAACATCAACGACAAACAAGACAGAAATAAGTAGTGCATATAACTAATACGGAGTATCAGTACAAATCAGCTAGAACAGCGATGCTGTAGCTAAATTCATTGCAAAAGAAGGGAAATCGTCTAGTAACACTGCTAACATAGACACACATAACGTACGTGTTTGATGAATGACAATGATACAACACCCAATAGTAAGAAAGAAAAACAAGACATCGATACTACAATTTCATCCATCCATCCATCCATCCATCCAATCGATAGATTAAATCCTTAGAAACGCTCATCACTTATCGCAGTTATAGACAATCGTCCACCAATGACCATTTTCACAACAAGTACCGACTATTGCTGCACTACAAAATAGTCCGTCGCAACATGGATCTAAATTCAGACCGCATGGATAACCTCTCAAGGTGCACCACTGCCCTGATGCTAAATCTGCAAAAATTGAAATTTACAACATTATATTTTTTATACTTTTATATTTTGAGAATACAACATTATATTAACTTGATCAATATCACTACAATTATCATTAGAAATAACAATAAAATTAATGAAGGGATAAAGTGTATTACTAGATGCCATGATAACAAGCAGTAACACAAATATTAGTGGCTTCAGATTTTTTGGGCACACCATTTTGATAACCTACCACTTACTAGTTACTTTCTGTAATTAGCTTAATTTTGCTTGGAATGAAGGCTTAAGCAATTTGTATGATTGGTTTTTCATTCACTTCTCTATTTATAATGTCTATACAATGTCATATTTGTGTGTTATTACCATATTTTAAGGTCAACTCCAATTATTCTTAATATTTAATGAAGCTTGGATTAAGGAGTATAATAAATAACCCACGTTATTCAATAATTTTAAAAGAAATTAGGAGGAAAGTCTTTCTATATGCTTTATAAGAAAAAAAAACAAAAAATAGAATAAAAACCTTGCATTATTATCTCAGGTTTCAACATTTATCTATACTTAGTATTTAAAAAAGCAAACCAAAAGAGACATATGTCATCATTCTATTACACTTCCCTAACTTCTTCCTCAACCCAACGTGCCACATGTCATTTTACCTTTTTTATTTTAATTATACAATTTTTCTAAACTCTTTCATTAAACACGTCATCTTCATCTTCCCTCTTTAATTCAACTTTTTTATTTTTTTCTCTTTGATTTTAGTCCCCCCCCCCCCTTTTCTTTCTATTAAGTCTCATTTCAAATTAAAGTCCCAAAATTTTTATTTCTGTAATTATATTTTCAGTTACATATTACACTCATAATTATTTATTGGTATTTCCTCACTCATATCTCAATGTAATTTTCTATGAACAAGTCGTGCATTGCACAGGCCAGAAGACTAGTTATATTACTTAATTAACACTACCATCATCATTAGATATAAAATTAAAGTTACATTAATTAATCAAGGGATGAAGTTTCATTACTAGATGCCATGATAACAAGCAGTAACACAAATATTAGTGGCTTCAGATTCTTTGGACACACCGTTCTCATAATCAATCACTTTCTTATTACACTGTAATTTAATATGCAATTTGTATGGTTCGTTTGAGAAAATTCACTTCTCTACTTATAAAGTTATAATGGTTAGACAATGATATAAACATATTTTATGTTATAATTTTTGGTCAACTCCTAATATTTTATGAAGTTTGCATTAATAAGTTAGGGTGTATTATTATATATAACCCACGTTAATTAAATAATTTTTAAAGAAAATGAGAGCAAAGTCTCTCTATATTTTTGCTCTAAGAAGAAAGAAAAAAGTAAAATAAATACCCTGCAATAATATCATCTCAGGTTTCTCAGATCAACAGAATTTTAACTCTATGCATGGTTACCAAATCATCATGTGTGTATTATAAACTTTAGCCTTTTGTCAAATAGTAAGAATTCATACACCATTTATTTGCTTCATGAGCAAATTAAATGACAAAATATTTAAGAAGCTTAACAAAGTAAAGAGAAGAGGTAAACGAAATATTTAAGGAAGAGATTAAGTATAATTACTAGATGCCATGAATATAAGTAGTAACCCAAATATTAATAGCTTCATATATTTGAGGGACACCATTCTAATAATGGATCGATCTATATATTTTGGATTTGAGAAATTTGTTTGAGTGATTAGCTTATCATATCTTTTCTAATGAAAGGTCAACTAACGTTAATACCACTTGTACAAGACACAATTAAAGAAAGCTGCTAATTAAACTTCCTTTGTTTTATTAAATAAATTGCGATTATCATATATACACGCAAGATGAAGCTAGACTGACGTATTAATCCTCATCTTATTAGCGACGCCTTATTATTTAAACATCCTTCTCACACGGTTTTTTGGACAATGAATTTCTGCCGTAATTTCTTTATCACATCGCTCTATATTACCTTAAATTTAAAACAAAGGACTCTCCGTAGACAAAAATAAGTTCATCTTTCGTATAAAATACTTTAGTATATACAACACAAGTTGAGTAAATAAATATGGATACATTAACATTATAACATAGGGGTATAAAGATACTTTCTCTGTGTTAGTTATTACTCCCTTCGTCCCTATTTGTTAGCCCCATTGTCAAATATATAGATACATTAACATTATAACACAGGGGTATAAAGATACGTATGTTATCACTTTCAAAATCAATCATGGTATAGAAAAAGTGAAACTGATGGATTAGGTTATTCCTTTTAGTTACTTGATTTTAATTTTATTGTAACGGTACTCCGTATTATTATTTTAGAAGAATAACAAAACCGTACAAAGTCAATTGATTTATAAGAAATTAGTGGGGTGACAAAATACAATCTGACCCCCACCCCCTTACGACTCTACCTAAAGCGAAACTGATCATGCTAAACATGTGAGCAGCTGCACGAGCACCTATATCCTAAGTCGTCCTAGCGAACGCCTGAACCTGCATCAGTAACCCAACAACATCCTTCTCTAATTCTCCCAATGAAAAAAAAAGAGAAAGAAAGAAAACCATATATAGCTAGAGCTGTCAATTCGGGTAAATGGGTTGGGTTTAGGTCGGGTAAGAATAGGTCGGGTCAATTCGGATTAATTCCATACCCTATGCGGGTCGGGTTTGAGTTGGGTCATGCTTGAGTCGGGTCACGTCGGGTCATACTTCTTATCAGGTTTGGGTCGGGTTTAGGTCGAGTTAATAACAGGTCGGGTTACATTCGGGTCGGGTGAACAATAGGTCGGGTTTAATTCGGGTTTTCACGGGTTAAAAACGGGTTAGGGTAATTCTCAGGTTCGAGTCAAGTTCGGTTCAAGTCAATAATTTGCGGGTTAGCATCAAGTTGGGTCATTTTCGGGTTTGAGTCGGGTTCGATTCAAGTCAATAATTTGCCGATTATAATAAGGTCGGGTCATTTTCAAGTCGGGTTCGATTCAAGTCAACAATTTGCGGGTTATAATCAGGTTGGGTCATTTCCAAGTCAGATCATTCTCGGATTCAAGTCGAGTTATGTTCAAGTCAATAATTTGCAGGTTAAAATCAGGTCGGGTCATTTCCAAGTCAAGTCATATTTGGGTTCAACTAACTATAAATAGATAATTATCATTTTTATCAAGCTAATTATTTTCTTTGACTATAATATATATGGCAATATATTAGGGAACTATAATTTATAATTTAGGAAGATAATTATCTCCTTTGACCATACAACAAGCATATACTATATTTAACAATTAAATTTGAGGATGATACTCCTTTTTTTTGCTGGTCTCCCTAGACAAAATGCTTTGATGATACTCCTTTTTTTTTTGCTGGTCTCCCTAGATAATTATCTCCTTTGACCATAAAACAAGCATATACTTGGTCTCCCTAGAAAAAATTCTTTAATCAACAATAATGAGGTGGTCTAAATTTCATTTAAGGTAATTTAAAAATCGGGTCAGGAACAATTTGGGTTGAATTTAGGTCGGTCAATAACAAGTCGTGTTAATTTCGAGTCGGGCTAGTAACAGATCGGGTAGAATTTTTGGGTCGGGTAAGTAATAGGTCTAGTAAAATTCGGGTAGGGACAATAATAAGTCGGGTTGAATTTGGGTCAGGTCAATAACAAGTCAAGTTGATTTCAGGTCGGGTTTGTAATAGGTTGGGTTAAATTCGGGTCGAGTTAGGAACGAGTCGGGTTGAAATCAGGTCAGGTTAGTAAAAAGTCAGGTTAAATTTGGGTTTTGACGGATTAAAACGGGCTTAGGTCAATTTCGGTTCAAGTCGGGTTCGGTGCAAGTTAATTAAATTGGCATTTGTAAACCGGTAAATCGGTGCAAGTTGTAAACCGATAAATTAACCGTTTAAAAGAAAATAGGATGGTTCCACACACCTAATTGGACTCTCGAATGATATAAGGGACCATGGTAAACATTCCGGCAATTTATATTTCCGGCCGAAAAAAAGTCAAAAATTTCCAAAATTGAAGGCTAATATCCACGTTTTTTGAGAAATTTTGAAGGTTTTGGAGCCCAGTGTCAAAAAGTCTTGAAATTCTATGGGATACATCTCGGGGTCATAAAATTTCGTTTGGAACCATATATGATCATTATTTGTTGTCATAAATGTTCTTGGTAGGCTTGAATTAATGAAATCGGTGCAAGTTGTAAATGGGTAAAGTAGTCGTTTAAAGGCAAATTGGATGGTTCCACCCACCCAATTGGACTCCCGGAGGGAATAAGAGACCATGGTAAACATTTCGTCAACTTTTATTTCTGGGCGAAAAAAAAGTCGAAAATTTTCAAAATTAAAGGCTAATATCCACGCTTTTTGAGAAATTTTGGAGGTTTTGGGGGCCGGTGTAGAAAAGTCTGATATTTTACAAAATACATCTCAGGGTCATATAATGTCGTTTGGAACCATATATAATCATTATATGTTGTCATAAATGTTCGTAGTAAGCTTGAGTTATTGAAATCCGTGCAAGTTGTAAACCGGTAAATTGGCCGTTTGAAAGCAAATTGGATGGTTCCACTCACCCAATTGGACTCCCGGAGGGTATTAGAGACCATAGTAAACATTTCGGCAATTTTAATTTCCAGGCGAAAAAATGTCAAAATTTTTCAAAATTAAAAGATATATCCACGCTTTTTGAGAAATTTTGGAGGTGTCGGGGATCGGTGTAGAAAAGTCTTTATATTTTAGGAAATACATCTCGAGGCAATATATTGTCGTTTGGAACCATATATAATCATTATATGTTGTCATAAATGTTCGTAGTAGGCATAAATTATTGAAATCGGTGCAAGTTGTAAACCGGTAAATTGGTCGTTTAAAGGCAAATTTGGACGGTTCCACCCACCCATTTGGACTCACGGAGGGTGTTAGGAAACATGGTAAAAATTTCGACAATTTTTATTTCCGGGTGAAAAAAGGTCAAAAAATTCCAAAATTAAACTCTAATATCCACGGTTTTTGAGAAATTTTGGAGATTTGGAGAACCGGTATCGAAAAGCCTTGAGAATTCAAAATTTGGGCGGGAGAATCTCTCGGCCTTTCGCCGAGTGACACCTGTAGCAGGCCGTCGCCTGTTACAGTGCGTCACCTGTCACAGGTAACACGTGACCAGTCACGTGCCACCTGTGAGGGGCAAATGATTAGGGGATTTTGCTCCCACCAATCGGAATGCGCCACGTGGGCCAATCAGGTCCTGCCAAGTGTCCCCCAGTTGGAACTGTCAGGCTTGCCA